AGATATGTACCAACTGTCTTTAAGAATGGGTGCACTTCTAGTATTAGAGTATATCGGATATGTACCAAATGTCTTTAAGAATGGGTGCACTTCTAGTGTTAGAGTCTATTAGTTATGTACCAACTGTCTTTAAGAATGGGTGCACTTCTAGTGTTAGAGTATATTAGATATGTACCAACTGTCTTTAATAATAGGTGCACTTCTAGTGTTAGAATATATTGGATATGTACCTACTGTCTTTAAGAATGGTTGCACTTCTAGTGTTAGAGTATATTAGATATGTACCAACTGTCTTTAAGAATGGGTGCACTTCTAGTGTTAGAGTCTATTGGATATGTACCAAATGTCTTTAAGAATGGGTGCACTTCTAGTGTTAGAGTATATTAGATATGTACCAACTGTCTTTAAGAATGGGTGCACTTCTAGTATTAGAGTATATTGGATATGTACCAAATGTCTTTAATAATAGGTGCACTTCTAGTGTTAGAGTATAGTAGATATGTACCAACTGTCTTTAAGAATGGGTGCACTTCTAGTGTTAGAGTCTATTAGATATGTACCAACTGTCTTTAATAATAGGTGCACTTCTAGTGTTAGAGTCTATTGGATATGTACCAACTGTCTTTAATAATAGGTGCACTTCTAGTGTTAGAGTCTATTGGATAAGTAACATGTCTTTAATATTAGGTGCACTTCTAGTGTTAGAGTCTATTAAATATGTACCAACTGTCTTAAGGATTGGGTGCACTTCTAGTGTTAGAGTATATTAGATATGTACCAACTGTCTTTAAGAGTATGTGCACTTCTAGTATTAGAGTATATTGGATAAGTAACATGCCTTTAATAATACGTGCACTTCTAGTGTTAGAGTATATTGGATATGTACCAACTGTCTTTAATAATAGGTGCACTTCTAGTGTTAGAGTATATTAGATATGTACCAACTGTCTTTAAGAGTATGTGCACTTCTAGTATTAGAGTATATTGGATATGTACCAACTGTCTTTAAGAATAGGTGCACTTCTAGTGTTAGAGTATATTGGATATGTACCAACTGTCTTTAAGAATGGGTGCACTTCTAGTGTTAGAGTCTATTGGATATGTACCAACTGTCTTTAAGAATAGGTGCACTTCTAGTGTTAGAGTATATTGGATATGTACCAACTGTCTTTAAGAATAGGTGCACTTCTAGTATTAGAGTCTATTAAATATGTACCAACTGTCTTTAAGAATAGGTGCACTTCTAGTGTTAGAGTATATTGGATATGTACCAACTGTCTTTAAGAATGGGTGCACTTCTAGTGTTAGAGTATATTGGATATGTACCTACAGTGTCGGGTGTATGTAAACTACAAAATCGAACAATTTAAAAAAGTAAGCTATCAAACAATAAAAGATCACATATTAAGGTATTTTTTTATTTACGTTGTGAAACACCCGTATTTAATATGACACATCACACGAGAATCATTATATAATCAAGCTCAAATTAAATAAAGTTTCGTATATATAAAACTGTAATGTATAGTTTTGTTCGTAAGTTTTTAAATAACTATAACACCTATCATATTAACAGAGAAACAGTTCATTCCAACAGTCATTTTCCCTATTATTGTCTGGTTATGTAGAAATTTGGATGCAGCTAACGATATATAACATTGTCGATGAGTTTATAATAGGTTCAACGCTGTCTAACCTCGTACGACTATCGTATAGGGTCGTTTAT